GATGTGACTAATACAATAATAATAATTCATTATAAAGGATTTTACAGTTTCTTTAACTTGTAACAATGTCAATATCTGATACTTTCCATTAATAAAAAAAATAAATAAATTGATAAATAGCTAAAAATACAACCATGTAGTTTTTTCAACGAAACGTCTCTATTTTATGCATTTATGTCGTAAAAGCCAAATTTCTAATAATGTAATTTTTTTTAAGGGTTTATTTATTTCTTCTAGTAACAAAAAATTGCTAGTTTTCTTAAGTAGGTAGCAACTAAGTAAACACTACGTATAATATTTAATTGAAACGGAACATTTTTATTTATTAAAAGTATATAAAACGAAAATGTAATTTTAGCAAGAACAATCCAAATTCTATATGGCCATTTTTACGATATACAACGGTAAACACCCGTAGTAATTTTACTAAAGAAAAGCAATTTTTTTAAATTATTAATCTTCCCCTAAATATCGATAAAAAACAACCAACAGAGTAAGCGTATAGAGAAAATGTCGTTAAAGAAATTGTAGGAACTAAAATACTCACTCAAGCATGTGTATTTAATTTTTTCTCTTTATTTTTTTATCCTTAATTAACAATACGAAGGATTAATTTAAACCTTTTATTTTCAACAAACCGTGTAAAGTGCGAAATATTAGAAAACAATTATTGTAATTTCAATTGCTGTTTTCTATTCTTATTAGTAAAAATGTAAAGCAATTACAGTTGTCAACCGAATAACGTAAAAGTGTAGGTACTTTTTGGGCAACAATTAGTATCAATTTTGTATTATTAACGGCAGAGGGTGACGAAATACAACTAATTGTAAAAAATAATCTAAACACAATAATATAAACATTACCGAAATTTTCTAAAGCAACAATGTAAAAAGTACATTAGCCGTTACGAAACTTCTGGCTGATATGAAACATTGAAATTGATTAAGAATACACTGTTGTACGCCTTACGGGTGTGATAAAGGAAACGACAATTTAGGCAGAGAGAGAGACAAGTTCCGAGTCTATATAACGGGGTAAAAAGAGACGACCAATCACCTGAGTGGCTGTCTCGCTACATATGAATCGAGCTTTCCGCAGTTTTGGTGGCGGGCGAAAAAGCCCGACGAGACACGATGTTTGCCGAATGAAATGTGGTCACGCCCAGCTACGCTAGGCTCGGTTTCACGGCCTAGGGCGCCAAAAAGTTTCACATCAAAATGACTAAAATTCTTCACGTTTTATTATAATCTAACAAGACGCGTGGCGAATAACAAACAGCCAAGAGTGCAACTGCAAAAAAGAAAATGGAAGACACGGGCACACACAGGAAACAAAACATGCGCCCATCAACATAGTCTTCTTACAAATTAGCAACAGTATATCGCGGAGATATCTCTCTATTATAATAATTTTTTTATCAGCTGAAAACACGACACGATATAATCTTCTATACAAACAAAAAAGAAAAAATATTATTATGTATTATTTGTTGCAGCAATGTATGTATATAATAATAATTACAGAACAGACAAGACAAATGTTAAGTTAAAATATGAAACTTATAATCTAATAAAGTTCAAACCTAACGATTCTTCTTCTTTGACAAATATTTTTTATTCAAGGGCCGCACGTCGTTCGCGATAACGTCATTTATCAGGGACAGACTTCGAAAATATTTTGTTCTCACTGTGGATTAATGCACTTTCACATTTTCCATTTTCAATTAGCTGATAATGACCTTGAATAAAATTAATGTTTTTAATAAGAAATATCGAACAAGGTATCAAGATCGTCTGTCTAAGTAAGGGCGAAGGACGTGCGATCCTTTGATAATCGGTAGAAGAGTCTGCTGTTCACTAATTTAATTAACATAAAACAAAAATATAAAGAAATGAAAAGTAGNTTTAATGTCTGTCCATCTGTTTGTTGACTGTTTAATACAATCTAAAGTAAATGTAAAATAATAATAATTCCTGTAGTATTAAGTGGCCGATTAAAAAGTGTGTTCGTCCAGGAGAAACGAGTTTTGGTTTTATTATTTAATACATTCGACCATTTTATTTTATTTTTTTAATGCAATGTGTGTACCACAGCCAGGGAAGTCCGTCTCGTTCGTATGTATACATATTTAATTTTTTTTCTGCTTTACTTGCCAAGAGACGCACTCAATAATTCTTCATTGGTCACTGTCAGTTCCTTATGTACTATGTATAACACTTAGTTACCTTCACCATCTTCCAGCTTCCTTTTCTTACCCCGACTTGTTTCTGAAAAACAAGATGAATGTGAATTAAAAACCTAAAAGCTTAAAAAGCATAACGTAGTAATAAAACGTATCTACAATAGTCTACTTTTTTTGATTATCCACTAGAAAATCAAATATACATTTAAAAGGAACATTTTACAAAAGATAACTAACATCACTCCTGAGTTCTTCAATTACTAATTTTACACGTTGCCCACTCGTTACGAAAACAAAATTCCAATTTACTGATTTTTCCCAGTATCAAAGAAGAAAAGTTTATTAATCTTTTTGTGAAGCTTTTTCCATATACATTAAAATAAAGGAATACAACAGTGGCTTGACTTGATCTGACTTTAGTGCTACAAGACTTTCATTTCTTGGTATTATAGCACTCTATTATTCAATGTTGAACTTAATGGCATTTCCGTACAAAAAAATTAAATATTTGACAGAAATTTTTTAATACACGCATTTTTAAAGTGACATCTCCTACCCAGCGAATTTATATGGATGATAACACGTTAGTTAAATAGCCCTGTTATACGATTTACAGTGTTGCATTTACTCAGATAATTTTTTCTACATAAACATATTACGTTGGTGGTACTTATTTTGATTATTTCTGAAAATCGTTGTCTATACTGATATACATTATCAGGTAAATATTGTCTGCAAATCGTTTTTTAACTTTTTGAAATCATCTCTCTCTCTTTTTTAATTATTATCTTTCTTTCAACAATTACCTGGTTAAATAACAACAAATAAAGAAATACATTTATANCCTGGTTAAATAACAACAAATAAAGAAATATATTTATACCTTCTGGTGGCTGTGCTTCTTCATCGCCGTCGTCTTCTTCTTCATCAAAGTCTTCTTCTTCCTCTTCCTCTTCACCAGCTTCATAATCTCCTTCGTCTGAAAGATCGTCTAAATTTTCTGAATAGACTGCCCCCAGACCCACACTATCATCCACATCTTCATCATCGTCAGATGAATCTGAAAACGAAAAGAAAATGGAATAAAATAAATTAAAAACCTATAAGTTGCATTAAAAAAAAATAACTACTATTGTACTTACTCTCATCTTCATCTACAGAATCGTCTTCGTTTCCGTTCACTTCTTCTTCACTGTCTTCTGCTTCGCCATCATGTACATCAAATCTAGAAAGAAAATGACATTCAGTAAACTTCATAGCAAATTCTAATTAACTTTTGTTGCAACATCTTATTGAGTTAAGTTAAAGGATTGATTTTTTTATGAAACTTTGGTAATGTCTTCGTTGTTTTTAGCTCATTAACCTCCTGACTTACAATACCTATTGTTAAATGGCAGTATGTAGTGGGAAACCCCGGGCGTATCAGCGAAAATACCGAGAACCAAATGCAAGGTAAAAAAACTGGGAAAGAACCCAAGCCTCGACAAAATCGCTCCACAGTCAACCAAAATAAAACGAAAAATATCAAGATGAAGCACCTATTGTTTATGAGGAAACAATTTCCTGACTTTTCCCTGACCATTACAGTTATTTCCTAACCACTTTATCGTTTGCATTTTTCTTAGAAATTTATTAATATAAATTATAATCAAGTAAAATAGTGACACAATTTGACTGACTCCAGCGTTATTAAGACATTCTCTTTTTTGAGTTTTTGCATTGTTTTTTAATGTCGAGTCGAGTTTCCCTGACTTTTTCACTTTACCCTATGAAAGTATATTACCCGTCCATGCATTTTGATGAATGAAAGAGTAAGTTGTCAACGAATGTTAAAAGTTATAATTTTTATAAGGTAATATGTTTTTACTGCATTAACTTGGAAGATTTAAAATTTTACAGGAATATGAAGTTCTAGATCTTACTATTCGAATTTATTTAAAGCTTCCACCTTAACGCAGATAAAATTTCATAGATGTAGAAAAAAGGTTGCTTGAAATTTTACTTTCTTACCCATCCAGGTATTTTAAACTGGGTATAAGTTTGAAAACTTTATCACGATAGTTGTCGACCAGCGTGGCTTCATTGTTGAAGAGGTCAAGATTTTTGAGGTACTTGAAGTCTTTCAGTGGCTCGAGTGCATCTAAATCCTTTATTCGATTTCCACTCAGATTTAACGTTGTAAGTTTTGGGCTCGTCGATAAGAGATTCAAACCATTGGTAATCCTTAAAAAAAATATAAACACTCTTGAAGACATAAAAATCCATTTTTGAGTGCAGACTTTTACGACTGTTATTTGCTATAGAAATTTCTTCCGGGTTCCGTCGTGTTTGATTTTTCNAATGTGAATTAAAAACCTAAAAGCTTAAAAAGCATAACGTAGTAATAAAACGTATCTACAATAGTCTACTTTTTTTGATTATCCACTAGAAAATCAAATATACATTTAAAAGGAACATTTTACAAAAGATAACTAACATCACTCCTGAGTTCTTCAATTACTAATTTTACACGTTGCCCACTCGTTACGAAAACAAAATTCCAATTTACTGATTTTTCCCAGTATCAAAGAAGAAAAGTTTATTAATCTTTTTGTGAAGCTTTTTCCATATACATTAAAATAAAGGAATACAACAGTGGCTTGACTTGATCTGACTTTAGTGCTACAAGACTTTCATTTCTTGGTATTATAGCACTCTATTATTCAATGTTGAACTTAATGGCATTTCCGTACAAAAAAATTAAATATTTGACAGAAATTTTTTAATACACGCATTTTTAAAGTGACATCTCCTACCCAGCGAATTTATATGGATGATAACACGTTAGTTAAATAGCCCTGTTATACGATTTACAGTGTTGCATTTACTCAGATAATTTTTTCTACATAAACATATTACGTTGGTGGTACTTATTTTGATTATTTCTGAAAATCGTTGTCTATACTGATATACATTATCAGGTAAATATTGTCTGCAAATCGTTTTTTAACTTTTTGAAATCATCTCTCTCTCTTTTTTAATTATTATCTTTCTTTCAACAATTACCTGGTTAAATAACAACAAATAAAGAAATACATTTATACCTTCTGGTGGCTGTGCTTCTTCATCGCCGTCGTCTTCTTCTTCATCAAAGTCTTCTTCTTCCTCTTCCTCTTCACCAGCTTCATAATCTCCTTCGTCTGAAAGATCGTCTAAATTTTCTGAATAGACTGCCCCCAGACCCACACTATCATCCACATCTTCATCATCGTCAGATGAATCTGAAAACGAAAAGAAAATGGAATAAAATAAATTAAAAACCTATTTAAAGTTGCATTAAAAAAAAATAACTACTATTGTACTTACTCTCATCTTCATCTACAGAATCGTCTTCGTTTCCGTTCACTTCTTCTTCACTGTCTTCTGCTTCGCCATCATGTACATCAAATCTAGAAAGAAAATGACATTCAGTAAACTTCATAGCAAATTCTAATTAACTTTTGTTGCAACATCTTATTGAGTTAAGTTAAAGGATTGATTTTTTTATGAAACTTTGGTAATGTCTCTGTTGTTTTTAGCTCATTAACCTCCTGACTTACAATGCCTATTGTTAAATGGCAGTATGTAGTGGGAAACCCCGGGCGTATCAGCGAAAATACCGAGAACCAAATGCAAGGTAAAAAAACTGGGAAAGAACCCAAGCCTCGACAAAATCGCTCCACAGTCAACCAAAATAAAACGAAAAATATCAAGATGAAGCACCTATTGTTTATGAGGAAACAATTTCCTGACTTTTCCCTGACCATTACAGTTATTTCCTAACCACTTTATCGTTTGCATTTTTCTTAGAAATTTATTAATATAAATTATAATCAAGTAAAATAGTGACACAATTTGACTGACTCCAGCGTTATTAAGACATTCTCTTTTTTGAGTTTTTGCATTGTTTTTTAATGTCGAGTCGAGTTTCCCTGACTTTTTCACTTTACCCTATGAAAGTATATTACCCGTCCATGCATTTTGATGAATGAAAGAGTAAGTTGTCAACGAATGTTAAAAGTTATAATTTTTATAA